TCTTTTCCATTATTGCTGTTCTCCCGTTGCCGTGGAAACATGATTGTTTGTGGAGACGTTACTTAGCAATGGCTGTTGTGTAGTTGCTTGTTTCGGCGACGTTGCCTAGCAACGGGTCTACATGCCATAGTATGTATTTTAGGAGTCTGCAGATTACACACCGATAATAGTGGTGTACTGGTTAGCAATCCATGTTCGTATTCGGTAGGTATGCAGTTCATTTCTAGGCCAGAAGACTGGATATATTAACTGAGTATTTTTATGGCGTTTCTTAGTCTTTCCCTATGAAGCCTCTGGCCACGTTTTTCGTATCTTTCTAAACTCGGCAAACTGTCACTCTAGGCTACATAACATGCAACTGACAGAGTGGCGCTGAATACAAGAAATAAACACAGACCACAAATCAATAAAGTGAGGTTGAGAAATCAGATACAGCCTCCATTATTATTGAAGACTCCCATTCATCTCAGTTTCCAGGGAGAGTCCCAGTTGTAGTATTCAGTTCCAGTGTTGTAAATGTAATGCTGGGAAGTCCTGGCCTCATAACTTACATATACATTATATGTATACATTATCTTATGAGTTTCATAAATTTGAAAACAGTGTCTGAGGAGACATATCAGCTGATATAAGAGCTTCGCTCAGTGTTGTTGCGGTCAGTTATCTCAGTAGTACGATTTAGCCTTCTTGCTCATTATTTTTTGCTAATTGAATTATACCATTATCTTTATCTTTGTTAAAACGTTTCAGAATAAGTAAGATTTGTTTATTTACATAAGGAAGTCAAAAATTATCCGCAATCCTGTTTTTCCAATCCATATATAGAAAAGTGGGGGTTGAACAAATACTTCATTTTTCTACATAGTCTCCTCACTTTTCGATGCACTTGGTCCAGCGGTCCAAAAGTTTGCGTATTTCCTCCACGAAGAAAGGTTTCGGTTGGTCGCGCAACCATTTATGCACCGCTTCCCCCACTTCTTTGTCCGTAGAAAATAAAAAATCTCGTAAAACATCTTTGAGCGGTCCAAAGAGATGACAGTCGGAAAGGGCGAGATCTGGGCTGTAGGCAGGGTGTTCCAGCACCTCGAAACACAAATGGTTAATGGTTTCAACGGTCCGGCCGTCCTTGTGTGAGTGTTCATTGTCATGCAACAACAACACTTTCTTCGACAATAGGCCTCGGCGTTTGGTGCGAATTCCTGGCTTCAGATTGTTGGCCAGCAAATCACTGTATCTTGCACTGTTGATCGTACACCCTTTTTCCCGGTAGTCTTCCAGTATAGGCCTTTTTGAGTCCCACAAAACGGTTAGCATCACCTTTCCCACGAAAGATTGAGTCTTGAATTTCATCTTCGTCTGCGATCCCGGCTGTTTCCACGCCATTCTCTGGCTTTTGGATTCTGGCTCATAGTGATGAACCCACATACGAATTTCAGCCCCTGTCACACCTTCCAATCAGAGAAATCGGATCACTATTCTTTGTTAATCATTAGAGCACACTGCTAGCAGAGCGGCCATGTTTACACTGTCACAGCATCAAGGAAAATGATGCGATCAAGGTAAAACTTCGATCACGTGACCACAATAGTACCAACTCTAACAATGCATGCGTAGGAGGCAGCGTGACAAACCTAAAGGTGTGTTATGGAGAAAGTGCGGATAATTTCTGACTTACCCTCGTAAATTTAAGTTTTATTACTGAATAACTTATGTCACTCAGAAAAATGTGCCACAAATTTAGTTTTCAAGAATGATGACTGGCATAAAACGTCTTATTTTCATTCATCATGTGGACATATATCTATGATCTTTTGTGTTTTCTCGCGTCTTCTTTTGACATTTTATGTTTTTTCTTTGGCTGTAAATCAAATTTTCTCAGAAATCATATAATCATCAGTTCCCGACATTTGTTTTAGCTGACTTTCTCTGTATTCTTGGATCATGAAGAATATACAAAGATTCTGTCTCTATCCTCTATCATATCCTGACAAAATAGGTTCTTCAGACCTGGGAGAAACCCATGTTAGCAGCTCTAATCATGTGAAACTTTCTCCTCATGGACAAGAATTGAAAGGTGTTGTCAAAATTTAAGTAGTCCTACACACATTTTCCAGATGTATTCAGTATGATTTTACGTGCCTTATGGACATTCACATTAATTGCTGATCTGTGATATCAGCAAGCAAGTAAAAGTAAAGGTATCCCTGTAACAGGCCATGGAGGCCCATAGGGTTGTAATATGTTGAGATTCCCACATTTACTAGACAATCGGCTCATATATGGCGGCAAGGTTGTCCCGCCTTGTGCGCCGGCCGCCCTTTACCCCAAAGAACATTCCAAGAATAGATGTAAATTTATTTTCCCACCTAGAATGCAGCATTTTTCCCACCACTGTCACACTGGAAGGCGACTGTACTACTAGCTAATGCATAGTGAGTGCATTTTAAACCATAAAGGATCATGAAATTAGTGATTGGACCCTATGTAGAATATTATGAATACACCTGTAATATGTTGTAGCAAAGGCACTCATGTTGCACATTCAGAAAATATTTTCCCTTGTATTTTGTTAAATATTCACCATGGGCTATTAAAAATTGGTTAAAATAATTATCTCAGACTTGTATTTTATGTGGTTTGCAATTTGCTCATATACAGTCTGTGTCTGTGAAAGAAGATGGCTTTGACTTGAGCTTGTATAAAGTCAGGGATGTATTACACTGATATGAACCAAAATAAATGTAGCTAACATAAATTGTTGTCCCTCCTAGGACCATATTTAATCGAAATCCGTTCAGTAATGTCAGAGGTCTTCACCTTAATCACCAAAGAGTGTATAAAACCTGTCTTTCTCACATTTCATACAGAAGTATTGGAATACACAGCACATTTTATATTGATGTTTTGACGCTGGATATATTTTTCAGGTATCATATACTGGTGCCACTGTCACTCAAAATTAATGCTCTACTGACTTGGTTGTATCCATATGTGTGTACATTTATTGGAATTACCAAGCCATATGTATTCAAAGGGAGTGGTGGTAAAATATATGGTGCTATGCTGTCCTTATTTTTTTTCTGCAATTCCTTGAAGGAAGTCTTTATGATCTTTATTGTGAGGGACAGAGGTGAAATTTTGGTTTTGCATAGTCGTCAACAGTATATCTAATGGTACCATGGACATGCCTTAATTTATGGAGTATTGACACTACACGATTTTAAGCTGTCTTGTCACCTTGAGGTAGCACTTCATTTTATTAACTGAAATTGGTTTTGGGGGTTGCATTTTATGCTCATGTAGTCAAAGTCACATTGCGACTGATGGTCAGTCAGTCAGTCAGTCAGTCAGTCAGTCAGTCAGTCAGTCAGTCAGTCAGTCAGTCAGTCAGTCAGTCAGTCAGTCAGTCAGTCAGTCAGTCAGTCAGTCTGTCTGTCTGTCTGTCTGTCTGTCTGTCTTGGTGTCAAGCCCCAGCTAGGGCTCATGAGCAGATGTTTCTTTTAAATGAAAGTTACTGTCCTGTCCATGTGGGGCCCCCTCTCTGACGAGAGGTCGGATCTCTCTTTTGTCAGTCATGGTCAAACGTATTAGTCCATTGTCACTATGTACACTTATTTGCAATTGAGTCTTAGTATCTAGTATGTATAATACATACAAGGCCTCTGTCAGTCCAGGCTCAGTACAGCAGACTGTACCCTATTTCTAGTAGAATTCCTTACCACGGTTGACCGCCACCAAGTTTAAGCCTCTTATACGTGTACTTTCTGTGTCGGGCATGCCCGCATATTGTCAATTCCAGACAAATAAGTTAGTGCTGGTTATGTGACGTTACTTCTATACACACACATATTATGTTCATAGACCTGTATAGTAACATGTCCAAGATAGTAAAAGTGGCCTTTGTGCACAAACATTTTTTCATCAATTACTGTCTTCTATCATACTTTCTTCTTCCCAAAATGTGGGAAAATATCTTGTTCTGTAAGTTGTCATTTTACAGAAATATTAGTTCCAAATTTATTAAATATACCTCGTATATCCCTAACTGTAGTTCATTTTCCAATTATCATGAGGTCATCCGAACATATGTAGTAACAGTTATTCTGTTTTTATCTGAAACACGGTTATCTTTCTTATTCTCCTGCATTCTCTTCCATTTAAATATAAACAGGTATTAAAAGTACTCATGACATTTGTGGTACCAGGTCACAAATATTTCAGTAGGAGGCACTACTTTGAAATATATGATATAAATGAGTCCCAGATAACAGTAATTCATTGGAAATGGTGAAGGGGGATGGGGAGGAGACACTGTCTTCTCTGAATAAGAAATAAATAAAAAATGCTGAAATTCCCAAAAATATACAATTATTTTTAAGTATGGTGCTACCTTTGTTTCAGTATAGAAACCCACAGATACAGACAAGTATAGTATATTTCCAGCAAAAAGTTGAGTTTTGGACTCTCTTGGTTGTAGAAAATGTGCATGCTCCTACTGCATCATACTTCGCTTCTTGCTCTCACAGATAATATGATGTACTGTGGTCCATCTATATTCACAGCATGCTTCAACTCACCATGAATTTAATCGCAAGTAGTGTGCAGATTCTCCTGAATAAGATCATTGGGATGCTGAACTATAGCGAACATTGCTGCCTGGGCTGGTGTAAAGGCTGATACCCCAATTTGTACATATGTATGACCACTTCAGAGCATTTTACACAACATTTATATCTTTTCTTATGATAAACATCAGCCACTACATTGTACACTTGCTGTAAGGTAAATTTCAGTTTGTTTAACACTTCTGGTCTATAATAATCGAGAAGCACATCACTTCAGCAGCAATGCAATGTGAAAGGGTCTGCCATTATGAAACACTGACTTATGGTAATAATACTGATTGTTTGTGGGAAGTATATATGCATGTCTCAGTTATGCAGATATGCAGTTGTTGAATTTAATAAATGCTGTTTTCATTATTTTGGGTATATTTGCAGACTTACTCTTCCAAGGATTCAAGCCTGAGAGCCAATCATCTGCCACCCAACACCACACTGCAGAGACATGTTAAGGCAAACAGAAATGTACATATACCAAGGTACTTATTGTAATATCCTCAACTGAGAATTTCTATCAAAAACAAGTTTCTCCAGTCCCACGTCTAAAACACAAAATCTCAGTCAAATTTGTTATCATGAGAACTCTTTTGCAGCAAATATTCAGACTGTTAGGAAGATTGTCCATGTTCATTTAAGTATAGAACATAATGCATAATATGTTTGCCATGTTATAGCCTTGTAGGTGTGTATACAGTGGAAGCAAACAGCAGTTTCTAGTATTTGTTTATGTACACTGAGGTACAAAAATGGGATTAAATATAAATTAGTTGCATGTTAGCAGTAGACTATAAATATATGATTTTGTAGTATAGTCTATAAGAGACAAGCTCTAGAATCTATTCTCACTTCTTGCATTACATATCTTGATAATAACCATTACAGTTCATTGAAATGTGCAGTTTGTAAATGAATAATATTAACATATTTTCAGATACGTTATTATACTACTGTGAACACACGCTTTTCAGTTGGAATAGAGTAACAAGTCTGATACGTGATGATAATGATGATGATGATGATGATGATGATGGCGATGACGACAATGACGATGGTGATGACGATGACAATGACAATGATGACAAAGACAGCAGTGATGAAGATGATGGCAATGATGAGTCATTATTAGTATTAGTATTTCCATACCTGTTACATAGCATTGTGTGTTAATCTAATGTAGGTGGTAATACTGCAGTAATATGTGAATAAATGAACAATCATGGGATCAATGGGATCCTGGAAATATGGATAAAAGTACTGTATTTAATCAAATGTAATCAAATGTACAGCACAATATGAAGAAAAATTGAGAGACAGATAAATTCTATAACGCTATGGCAGTACCTGCACTTACACATGGACCCAAAATGTGGGGGGGGGGGGGAGAGCAAAAATTGAAACTGCACAAATGAAATTATTGAGGAGTGTAGCAGGCTACATATGGAAAGACCAAATAAGAAATACTGATATTAAGGAAGAGTTTAACATTTTTATTCTAAATGCCAAAATTATAAAATTCAGATCACAGTGGGAAAATCACATGCAATGAATGGAAGACAGACAGAATCCAAAAGAAAAATACAGCAATACCTCGCATAGTCTGGCTTTGATCAGTCCGGATTCACTATAGTACGGTTTGAAAATTTCAAAACAAACTAAATTTTAATTGAGCAAAATAAAAATAAATTCTAAAAAATTAGTACACAAAATTATTTTTAATACATAAATAATCACTTTTTCCCTTTATATAGTCAAGTCTCTTTTTGTGCAGTTTATTTTTATGTTGTTTTAAAGTTATGCGATATGATACATATTTCAATTCTTTCTGGGGTTCCCAGTTGTATATGCATGTATCTATGCTCGGGTTGTTCGTTCTTGAGCTCTGACAGCTATCGCTGGAGGAGGTGGGCACTACTTTAACAGAATTTTGGAAGAGCTACAACATCAGAAACGTTATCGAAAATATAGGCGAAGCATGACATAAATTAACAGCAAGCAATATGAGGGCAGTATGGAAACATATCATACCACATTTTGCAAATAATTTCATTGCTTTTCAAACTCATTTTGCTGAAGTCAGTAATAACATAATGGAAACTGGACAGCAACTTGGTTTCAATGAGTTAGATTCTGTCAACATAATTGAGTGCATCAAATCGAACACTAAAAAACTAGATAATGAAACACTTATTAACATAGATGAACAACGGGCTTATGAAGAACGGTAGGACAACATAGACAATGACGATGGTGTTGAAGCGACTGCATGAGCTTTAACAGGTGAACAACTATGAAAAATTATTGGAATAGTTGTAACCTTGTCAGAGCATGTTATGGAAGTTTATCCCAATATTGAACATAGCCTTATAATTCACTTAACGATAAGCAGCGCAGTTTGTTGCTGCAGAGAAATGTACGAAGAAAAGAAGAAAAATGTGCAGACATCAATATTGCAATTTTTAGAGAATAAAAAATGAATTGTGAAAAACATGAATTTTTTAAAATTATTTGTAATAAAGACATTTGAATTTATTAATCTTGTGTTCTTTATTGAAAAACGAATAATTTTTTTTTGGAACAAATTATCATTTTTTGTATGTATTTAGTTCCTTGATTAGTCTGGTTTCAAACGGTCCGGGCTGTTGGCGGAACTGATTACCCGGACTATGTGAGGTATTGCTGTACTAGTATACGAGGACAGACCACAAAGAAAATGAAATGTAGGATATCTACATTTAAGATGGAGAGGTCAGCATACTCTTCAATAGGACAGAGCAGACCATGTATGTCCTAATCAATGATGATAATAAATTTGCTGTGTCTTCACTGAGCTCAGTTGCTATGAAATAGTTTTTGATTTTCCAATTAGGAGCAAGAAGAATAGCATTTATTTGATCGTTTTAGTGCAATAATACTCATGATGATTATGATGACATGTTTAAATCATACACCAGTACACTGAAAAATTACACTATAAGAAATTGTTCTTTGTTGTTTTTGTTCACTAATTTTAAATAATATAATGTTTTTTATTCACTTCCTTGGGCTCTTCTTCCAGGCTCTTCATTCCAAAAAAATCAAAATAGCACTTCTCTGACTTTTAATAAACTGCATGAAGACTTGTTTCAAGAAATTTCTTTATTTTATCCCATCACCACAGTGGGAAAAATGGACATGCTGTCCTTTCGTCGTGTCTTGCAACATTATCTGATGCTACAGTATAATATTTCTTTCATGTAACTTTAGAATGAAATTCTTCAAGGAAGTTTGGAATGTAATCTGTTGATGATGCAGTAACCATATATTTTTTCACCACTCCATTTAAATACAAATGACTTGGTAAATTTAGATAAAATATGACATTTGTTTAGGTGGGAGCTGGGAGGACTTGTTCCTTGCTGAAGGAAGGAATTTATGGTATACATGGGGTTTTAGAGTTTAAACATTGGTCTGCTAATATGTCATTAATGTAAATATCTTTGTATTTTTTTAATGATAACTGATCACTTCCATTTCAGATTTTATTATCCTCAGGGGAAACCCACGAATGAGCATTTTGGAGATGTTATTCAACAGAAAATATCCTCAGTCTTCCAGCAGTTTCCAAACCTGCAAGTGCCTCGTGACAAGTTTGATGCAGTCACCAAGGTTTGTGCTGTGTTTTTATTAATTTTCCCCATGCTGTATTACTATTACTTAAAAAGAAATTATATATTTATCTGTCTCTTTCCCTGTAGGCTTGTCAGTGTCCTGTCTACTGGAAGATTCCATTATTCATTGCAGCTGGAGGAGAGAAGCTTGGTTATGTTGAAGCAAATACTTTCATTGATTTCTGGAAGAAGTAAGTACATTTACAATATATGCAGGAAATAAATAACTCCATGGAGCAGAGCCCTTCTTGAGAAGTTAATAATCACTCAGCTAATCCAGAAATTTCACATATTTTCTGGAACTTAGTAGTTCATTACCGTGTTCACAAAAGCCCATTGTCTGTAAATATGCTAGGATTGTAGAAACTGTAATCGCTTCTGTCAAATTTCCACCAATTTAAATTAACCCATTGGTGCAGTTTTTATGGCTGCAATACATATACAGTCAACTCTCGATTATCCGGGCTAATGGTGGGGANGTTTGGGTGATGTTATTTACTTTTACTGCTAGTGGGGTGGGACTATGTCCCTTGTACTGCGGTCACTTCTGGCCTATTATAACAGCCCCAGATGATAGGTGATGGTGATTGTGGAGCAATTGGTGGAATGAGGATTGGCAAGGGAAACTGAAGTACTCAGAGGAAACCTGCCCCAGTGCCACTTTGTCCACAAATCCCACTTGACCAGACACGGGATCGAACCCAGACCACTGTGGTGGGAAGCCAGTGACTAACTGCTTGAGCTAGCATGGCCGTTTGGGTGATGTTAACTAATTTTCTTACTAGACAACAGAAGTATGAGTAGTATCCCTATGTAAGTATCTTGTGATAAATTTGAGATTGTTTTAGTTGTTACTCATCTATTATAACTACATTTACTGTTATACATATCGCAAAGACTGCCTGGTGATGGTGTAGGGAAACATTAGCTCTTGTCATGTTTTATATTATTCATCTGAAATACATCCAATTCTCAATATAATGTCTCGTCACACACCAGCTCGGGTGTGTAATATTTACCACTCTGTTATGCACTCCATGCCTTATTAGATGGGGGAGGGTATAAATTAACCATTTTGCCTATTCCTAACATGAGAATTCACTGTTCTAATTCATTAAGTCCCAGAACATTGATTTTGTATCCTCAAAGCATTCTTGCCTTATGTCCAAGAATTGTACTACATTCTCTTCTACATATATGTAAAGATTTTGCTGACCTCATCCTCATGATCACAATTTCCTTGCTACTGTAAAGCTTGTGGCAATATTTTCATTTCTTATTCATGAAAGGTTTGAAATATGATTGAAAACAAACAGTTCATTGCCTTCAGTTATCTTGAATTTAGTGTGTTAATGTTACTTCTAAACACTGGTTGTTATAGAGATATCACTTGTAATATGTAAACCTTTTGTTGTTCTATTCAGAATGTGCTCATCATGCCATGACAAGCCATCACAATTTATCTACATCATGACAAGAGGTTCACGAGATTTCCTGGTTCCTGAGGACTTCATACCTTTGGTCCAAGATGTTGTAGACACACATCCAGGTCTTACATTTCTCAAAGAAGCCACAGAGTTCCACTCCCGATATGTACATACGGTAAATGCTGTAATATACTGTTTTGATTTCAAAGGCTGCTTCTTTGTGTAATTCTTAATAGGTTTATACACAGTGAGCATGAAGTCACTGTGCAGCTGTATAAGTATGTCTTATTGCTAGTGTAGACTTTAAATTTTGATGAAAATAATCTCTGTGATGATGAGGTTTTCATAGTGGTGGAAAATTAGAATGTGGGGTTTGGGGTTGTAACACTGTATGGATGTAGATGGTTATGTTGGAGGCAGTAGGTTGAATGAATGAATGTATGAGGGGTAGGCCTCCTTGGCCCTTGCATTGCGACCTACAGTGGTCTATTGTGCTTAAGGCAGCAGGTTCGTCTGAAATGTTAGAATCAATTAACAAGCCTACTCAATGTCACAACCTGGCAAACCTCAATCAAAATGTCTGCAGACATTTATCATGGTTATCTACTATCTTGAACTTAAAGATGTCATCACAAATGTTATTGCAATCATTCCTGGGAAGCAGGCAGCAAGTGAAGCTCTGGTTGCAGTCTGTCTCATGCCAGTTTCTTGCTTGGCTTATTTTATGACCCTAAAGATGGAGGTGACATATTCCTCTGAAACAGTGGCTGACATTCCGTTGACTGCAAGGCATCATATTTCAGAAGACAGATCTTTAGTCCACCACAATTTTCACTGTACATCACTGTGCTGTTTTCAGCTTGTTGCTTTGCACTTCCAGCATTGAACTAACTCACTGACTCACCATACACACTATTTCACATCTGTGTACACATTTGCACTACATTGCTTCTGGGCTTATGATCAGACTGGCTCAGCTATGCAACTTGCTAACTCCATGATACTTTCATCCAAGCATAGTCATTCTGGAAACTTCTAGTTGGCATTGCAGATTGGGTGGTTTCAGAGCAATTTAGAAGCTGTCATGAAGGTGGTGAAATTGAGAAGTATCCAGAAAGAGAGTGGTGCACACATATGCTCCCTCTCCAAGCTTAGGTCATGGAACAATATTATTGATGATGATTACTTTAATCCATGTTATGTGGGTCCTTTTTCACCACAGCACGGTACATCCTCAGGTAGCGGATGGAGGAGATGACCTCCAGATGTGGAGGGTAGCTCTGAATATATTGAATAAGCAGTCACGGAAAGCAGACAAGGGCTGGTCCTCCAGCTTGGGGGTTTGTCGTAGACTAACAACTCACTGTAAAAATAAGCTTGTTATGAAAGATCACAAGAAGCCTTGGGCCTGGANGTGAATATATTGAATAAGCAGTCATGGAAAGCAGACAAGGGCAGGTCCTCCAGCTTGGGGGTTTGTTGTGGGGCTAACAACTCACTGTAAAAAATAAGCTTGTTATGAAAGATCACAAGAAGCCTTGGGCCTGGAGAGATTCTTTGGATAAATGAACTCAGGGAAAGAAAATGGATATGAGATTTGGTACTTGGAATGTTGGAAGTATGTATAGGGCAGGTTCATTTGGCAGTGGCAGGCAAAATCTCAAAACATAAGTTAGACTTAATTAGAGTACAGGAGGTCAGATGGGATGGAGGTGGCAGTGAACCAGCATTTTTCTATGAAAGGGGGAATGAGAATCATGAATTAGGTACAGGTTTTTCATACATAAGAGAATCATATCAGCAGTTAAGAGGGTAGAGTTTGTTGGTGATGGGATGCCATACATAATACTAAGAGGTCACTGGTGCAATATCATCGTTTTGAATGTTCATGCCTCAACAGAGGACAAAATTGATGATATGAAGGAAAGGTTCTGCAAAGAACTAGAACATATATTTGATAAATTCTCTAAATACCATATGACAATTTTGTTAGGAGATTTCAGTGCTAAAGTAGGTAGGGAAGACATTTTCAAGCCAAGAGTTGGGAATGATAGCTTACATGAAATTAGTAATGATAATGGAGTTATAGTAGTAAACTTTGCCACATCCAGAAATCTGATTGTCAAAAGTACATGGCTTGACAATAAAGTTCGCAAACTCATCAACGTAAAAGTGTTATATACCTCGTTGTTGTATATCACTGTGGTCGCCTTCAAAGTATTCTCCTTCAGAAGCTATACACTGATTCCAGTGCCTAGTACACCCTTCAAAACAATTTTGGAACTGATTTTATGGAATGGCCTTCAGAGTATCTGTTGTATTAATCCTGATATCACCAGTGTCATCAAAATGCCTTCATTTCAATATTTCCTTTATCTTCAGGAATAGAAAAATGTCATTGGGGGCTAGACCTGGTGACCTGTGTTCCAGCACAATTACTTGTTTACTGGCTAAAAACTCCCTAACACACAGTGCCATGTGAGCAGGTCCTTTGGGACCTTTTTTGCACACACCTTCCTCATGTCAAGATCTTCAGTTAAGATTTTCCCATCTGTTTGTCTGTCAATGTTTGCTTGCTCTGCTATGCTCTTGACAGTCAGCTAATAATTTTCATGCATAATTTGGTGAACTTTTTCAGTGTTTTCTTCAGTTCTGCTCATTGCTGGCCGTCCTGATCTCTCTTCATCAGTGAGACTTTTCTCTTCCCTCAGAAAAACGTGTCACTTACTTGTAAACTTTTCATAGCAGTATCCCCATAAACTTGCACTAGTGCAATGATCATTTCACTTATGTTGCAGGTGATTGCACGCATATACTACTGTGTGAACAGGTCATGGAGTGGTCGCATCACATTACCAGAACTTAGGAGATCAAACCTCTTGCATGTTATACGACTGCTTGAGGAAGAAGAAGATATTAACCAAGTGACTGCATACTTCAGCTATGAGCATTTCTATGTTATCTACTGCAAGTTCTGGGAGCTTGATCGTGACCATGATCTCTATATAGATAAGCAGGATCTGACGAGACACAGTGATCATGGTGAGTATTTGCCATTAGTGTGAATGTCATGCTTCTCTGAACATTTCTATATCCAGCACTTTTATTTTCTATGAGTATAATGTGTACTATAGATATAAATTATGAGGGTTAGCCATCTGTAGCGAGTGATGGTCTTGTTCAAAGAGTTGACCAGAAAATCTGTGAAAGATGGTGCTTCACAGTTTCAGAACTTTCTTGTGAATTTACACAAATTTCATGCACTGTTCTGTATGAGATTATCACAAGTAGGCTATTCTATCACAAGTTTTGTACAAGATGGGTTCAGGAAATGCTCATGGCTGTGCACAAAACACAGAGAATGACATCAGCTTTGACATTTTAGGGCTATACCATAAAGATGGCGATGAATTTCTCAGTCATATCATGTGATTAATGGGTGATGCACCTGGTTTCATTTGTGAATGTTGAAACCAAAGAGAAGAGGAGTCGAAGCAGTGGATGCACACACATTCAAACAAGCCAGAAAAGTTGAAACAAACATTGCCTACCAGGAAGCTGATGGCAGCTGTTTTCTGGGCCATTGAAGGAGTGCTGGTGGTGAAATTCATGCAACAAGGACCACAATAATGTCTGAAGTGTATTGCGAGACACTATAATAACTGTATAGGGCTTGCCCTTCAGAAAGAAGGTGTGAAATGCTGACATCTGGTGTTATGCTTCTCCATAAGAATGCATGTCTGCATACAGCTGCTTACACTTGAACACTGCTGGAGCATTTCAAATGGGAGTAGTTTGTCCAGCCTTTTTTCAGCCCTGTTCTTGCTACGAGCGACTACCACCTGTTTACATACCTGAAGAACTGGTTGCGATCACAACACTCTAACAATAATAAGTTGATGGAAGGTGTCAAAATGTGGCTAATCTCACAGGAGGCAGACTTCTTGGACACAGGCATATGAAAACTTATTCCCCGATATGACAAGTACCCCAATTCCAGCGGTGACTATGTTGAGATGTAGTTTAAGTTTGTGCAAATTTTTTGTATATGAAATGATGTTTTCTCCTTTTGCTTGTTTTGTTAATAGCTCAGTGTAAGTTACTTGCTGAATAGCCCTCAAATATAACCAGAATAAATGGACAAAATCAAAGAATTGATTATTCCATTCTTTTCAACCTTCTTATTTGCTGTTCATGATGTGTATTTGTACCAACCATCTTACAGTGCACACAATTTCACCTTTCTCTTCACTACACGTTTTGGCACTAATGTGCCATCTTCAGGTGTGGTTTTGTTTACATCAAACCATTGCACTGTATGCCATCATGTCTCCTTTATAAAATGATTAAAATGTAAATATGTCATGTATAATAATAAAATTTATATATTAAAACTTTTCAAGATTTATCATCTATATGTTGCACTTCAAATTCGCGAGTTACGTCAGTCCTCTCCTACGGGAGTACTCTTCCTATATTCTCGTGTATATTGTGTCCTTCCCTTGTGACTGCGTGTGTTGTATTGCTGGATGTGTGTGTGAACGCGAATCAGTGCAACAGGACACTAAAATATAACATTTTTATTTGATTCCAAACATTTTTTGCTTCCTATACAGGTTAAACTGTGTAACATTTCTTTTATAATTATATTCTTTTTTCTGTTTCTGATTTATTTGTATGCATTTCCTGTTGGTTTCTTAATTTACTCCAGTACCAGTTCATCTGGCTGGAAAGAACCTTGTTATAAGAAAATAAAAAAATATCGTCGCACAAAATGGTACTTTCAACTTGCAGCAATAAGAATAAAAGTCATTGGCTAAGCTGTAGAGGAATTGTATTTCACAGAGTTAAGAGAATGTGTATTCTGGAAAGAGGCAGATTTAAGAGGACAGCAGAAATAAATTATAATTTCAGGTCTGCATTAGCACTCTTGGAAACATGGAATTTTCATTGTTGAATAAAAATTAGTTGGTGTGTACATTACAACATATGCTGAAGACGAACCAGTAGAAAAGGACAAAATTATATAAAATTAAGGGTCCACAATTTTTAACTTTCCAGTAGTGGGATGGATTATGTAAGTTGTATATTAAATATCATAGTCGAGTTTGTAGCATTCCTGTGTTTTGTTTTGGAGGTTCCAAGTTCAAATCTCAGCCAAGAGGCTGGCTATTCTAAGATTTGTTTGTGGGTTTCCTCAGTCTCTTTGGCATATGACATGATATAACCTCAAACAGGTCATAGTTGCTTCCTTCCACATTTTTTGTACTTCATCAGTCATTCTAACATTCAGTGCTGTGCAATCTGAACTTCTGACAGTGTCATTAAATGAGTACATAAATAATTATAGGTTATATTGTACCTTATTAGTACCAAGTTTCTTTTTTGTGTGTAGGTCCTTAGTAGAATTCCTGTTTCATGCTTCTCAGTTTGAGGGTTTCTTTTATCCAGCAGTTAATTCCTAAGCCTTGTTCCTATAGCTAATTTTGAGCTCATTCTGTGTGAGATTATCCTCAGCTTAGTGTTCAAATCTGTCTTGTCCCAGAGAAACATTAAGTGAGGATTTATCATCATCATCAATCATTCTAACATTCAGTGCTGCAGTCTGAACTACTAACAATGTCATTAGATGAATACATAAATAATTATAGGTTATATTGTACCTTATTAGTATCAAGTTTTTTTTGTGTGTAGGTCCTTAGTAGAATCCTGTTTCATGCTTCTCAGTTTGAGGTTTTCTTTTATCCAGCAGTTAATTCCTTAGCCTTGTTCATGTAGCTCATTTTGAGCTCATTCTGTATAAGATTATCCTCAGCTTAGTGTAGGCACTGACCCAATCCTTAGGGCTAAGCTGCCAGCCATGCATTGACCTACATAACCTTGTACACCTCAAGGTGGTTCCTTACCCATGAAAATCTAAAATCTTACATTCTTATCTTCTTTAACTGTACGATATTCTTCCATTTTCAAAATAATTTCACGCACAAATAAAATTATAAAACCCAACTGCCGTATTTTATTTGTGAATTTCTGACTGCTGTTGTCACTAGTTCACGCCTGTGATTGAGTTTACATGCATCCAGTCTTTTTTGCAGTGAGTAATGTACAAATTTATTGTGTTCTAATTAACAGCACTTTCATCACGCATGATAGATCGCATCTTCTCAGGAGCAGTGACACGTGGGAATCGACAGCTGTTACATGATGACAAAATGAGTTACACTGAGTTTGTGTGGTTTCTTCTGTCAGAAGAAGACAAAACACATCCAACAGCTATTGAATACTGGTTCAGGTAATTTCTTCTGTATTGTGTAATATCCAAAAATCCTATCCCATCCATTAACCTAAGTTACTGTTTCTCAGCTGTTGTACTTCTGTTTAAGTCTTAGTGTTCTGCAGTATTTTCAGTTCAGATTTTTATCATCATATTTAACAACAGTTCATAGAGTGTGGGAGTAACAGTGAGATTTTGATTACCCCTGTCTTGTAATCTCATTGGCTTATTTTATTTTACTTTGTTAAATTGTTGCTAATGTTTGTAATATATTTCTTTATGTTACATTCCTTATTCTTAAATAAGAGGAATTCTTATTCTGAATATTTTATTTCTTTCTCATTCTAATAATTTATTGCTTTGCATGAAATGCTGGTTTTTTGTTTTTTGCATGTCTTATAATGCTTGTTGAAAAAAGAGTAGAAAATGTTTAGCGAAGTATGAAAAATAACATGAGTATACAAGAAACTAGCAGACCCCTAGAAGTACACATTAAGGAGCACAAATATAACATGACACTGGGTTTGCTGGAAAAATCTAAATTAGCCCAACATGCATACAAGGAAGACCACAAAATTTGTTGGAATGAAGCGAAGGTCTTTGCAGATCGAACCCAACACCACATACAGGAAATACAAGGAATCAGCCTACATGTCTCTGCTGGACCATCCAACCAGTCAACCCAGTGTGGATATCACTCCCATCTGGACCCCTGTAATCACAGCAGTCAAGAAACTACAGCGCCATTAAGTGTAGTTGAAGTGGGTAACTGTTTGTTTCATGTGTTGGTACCACAAAGAGTGGTATGATTTCAATCAAGATACTTCTCTGGTGTAAGGCCTCAAATATGTGTAGCTTCACTATTTCTTAGCTCTCACAGATGGTTTGTGTTGTGCTTGAATTATGAACCCCTTCTGAAACTGGCATAGTTGTCTGGAGATAGGGGCTAGCTCTGTCTATTGGACCCAACTGAGTAGGTTTTACCTGAGGACAGGGACAGAATCCAGTCTCCAAAATGTTGTGTTTTTAAAAGAAACAGGACAGTTTTTTAAAAACAGACAAGATGATGGATAATGTCCAAAAATATATTACTTGTAGCAATTTACTATCGTCACAAACTTTTAGATCTTTTTAACATGAGTATAGTTTATGCATATACATATAATATGTATGTGCATATATATTAAATTTTACAGTGATACTATATTTAAGCCTGTTGCATTACTGTATCTAAAAATGTTTATGTACTACACAGTCCATCAACAATGCAACAAATGTTTCCTTTTCCTTTCACTTTCAACACAACATGTTTTGGCCCTAAATGGCCATCTACAGGTGTCTTACTATACTAAAACTGCTACACTGCACTGCTATTTAACACATACCAGTTTGACTATGATTATGACATTTTGAATCATGAAGCATGCAGCTGCATATGTGATGAATGGATAATATTAGTGCAGTATAGCAGTTTTAGCATAGTAAGACATCTGAAGATGACCATTTAGGGCCGAAACATGTTGTGTCAAAAGTGAGAGTGAAAGAAAGAAGGAACAGTTTGTTGCATTGTTGTTGGACTGTGTAGTGCATATGCAGGGTTACAGTGATATATTATTTGTTGTGCCATTAGATACTGATCATAGTCTGCCACAACATGGACAAGTTTTGGGAACAGTGCAGCTGTCAGTATTAAGACTGCAGTCTTCTGGAATGCCATATAGTGGTGGCAGCATCCCACATAGCACGCTGTTCCACCGGTCTTTCAGACAACACTTACTCCTAAGTGAATATCACATTGCTGGTGATGATCATATTTATACATCACTCAATTTCCAACCCACTTGCAGGTCATCATGTGCGCTAGCCAATCTCATTCCTGGCAGCACTCGTATTTAAACAACATTCAATGTCCAGCTCACATTTAGATCATAACGTGCTAGCCAATCAGCGTTCTGCAAATTTCGCTCCTCCATCATGCATTGTATAAAAGGCAGAGCACATTGCTCGTCAGAGTCAGTGTCAGTGACCATACCAGCCCCTCAGCTATCACACTTCGTACAGCGCAAACGGTCTTCAGAGCCATCGGCACTTCACTGCACCAGGGACGGCTGCCTCGGCTCTCCAGCGGTCATGCATGACTCACTGGGCAACTGGTGCAGCTGCTGCCACTCCAGTGACTGCGCTCTGCAGCCAGAATTCTTCCAGCAACCACGCTCTGCGATCAGGCAACTTCCGACAACTGCCACACTGTGACCAGGCAACTCCCGGCAACTGCTGCACTACGGCCAGTCAACTCACTCAGCTGCCGTAACATTGGTCAACACACCGCAGCCAGCATCTATTTCTACCGGTGCACACAGCCCTACTTCACTGGCCAAACATCCCAGCTGAACAGCCCTTTTTAAGGCCTACAAACTTTCCGAAGTGGTTTGTCTATTGGAGTATCGACAAAATCCCAGATAGTCTTACAGATGGTTACTATTGTTTTGGAGGATCATGCTGCATCAATCTTCTACCTGAAGATGGAGTTAATAAGTTTACCTAAAACATTGGTAGCCATCTACCAAATTAATAAGTGTTACGTCCCAAAAACCACAGTCTAACCCTGGCCTGGATAATTTTGAGTATATTTTAACTGTAAAAGGTCACTAACTTACTAAAGTGTGACATTCTGTGCTTCAGGTAATCCTGCTTAGGTAGGGCAGAGAGCCATATTGAACATGAACTGCTGTAACCTAGATAGAGTAATGCTGTAATATACAAATGTCAGAAGTCTTGAATGTGATGCCGTGTGTTTTGGTAGATAGGTACCAATGTTTTGATGTACGTGCTGCCTCCATATTCTACCCTAAAAATTGGTACCTGTCTAATAAACTACATGACATCATATCCAGAACATGGTAATCTTCTGCAAATGTACTTTTTGAATACAGATGCATGGATCTGGATGGTGATGGTTACCTCTCCATGTATGAACTTGAATATTTCTATGAGGAACAGCTTCAGAGGATGGAAGCCATTGGTATTGAGACTTTACCCTTTGAGGACTGTCTCTGTCAGGTAATCTTTATCACTGCTATATAACTTTACAACATACATTAAAAATATTGAGCTGTTATTACAGAATCTGGGATCTGGCATACCTCAGTTGGTATAGTGACGGGCTGTGAGCTAGATGTCTGGGATTTGATTCCCAGTAGGGGGAATAAACTTACATTTTTCTCTCTTCTACAGTGTTCAGAACAGCTCTGGGGCCCACCTAGCATTCTATACAATGGGTATTGGTGGTTTTCTTCTCAGGGGTAAATTGGCTGGGGGATGAAGCTGACCATTGTCCTCCATCTACTGCTGATGTCAAGAATGATAGAGCTATACATCCACTCCCCCATATGTTTTTTTGGCATAGTGCTTACCTAATAAAACACAAGGACAACTTTCTTTATTACTAATTCATGTATAACAAAGATTAAAGAAAGCATGATAACTGACAGTATACATGTCAGCAAAGTTAGTGCCAAATTTAGCGGGTAGAGGCAGGACTGAAATCCAAAATCAACCATAACTGCCAACTCCTTGAATATGCAGACAATGTGGCAGTTTATTCAGTTAACAGATATAGCAAAATTGGTGTATCGGAAGTGGAAAAGAACATACAAAGCACTGAACTTTATTTAAAGGAAAGCGGCTTGGAAATAGCACCAGAAAAATGTCAACTGTGTATCTTCGATAAAAAAGGGACAGCTGATGTAGAGTGGGAGATCACGGTACAAGGGGAAAAGGTTTATTCAGTCAAATCAATTAAATTTTTAGTTCTGCACTTAAAATCTAATCTACACTGGGAGGACGAAATAAATGCAATAATTAGGAAATACAAAAACCCAATGAAAATTGTGAGTTGTGTGAAGCACACTTGGTGGAGAGCGGACCCTGTAATTTTAATGAGACTCTACAAGGCCCTTGTAAGGTCGAGGATGGAATATGGAGCATTTTTATTCCATAAACTTAAGAAGAAACAAGCACAGAAGCTTGAGAAGATACAATATAGGGCAATACATGGAGCACTGGGCTACAGGAGTAGCACCCCGACCAATGTAATGCTAGCAGAATCCAAAGAAATCCCAATTTTTAGTAGAACAGTTGGGAAGGAACTATGTGTCCAAGTGTTATATGTCAACCAACCATCCAATGATCCAGCTGCTGGAAGAATTATCAGCTCTACTTGATAATCCAGGGAGAGAAGAAAATGAACAACCACTCATCAGCGAATATTACAAAGAGGTAACCTCTCTCGGTCATTTAATCCAATCAGGGAACTGTCCCCCGGCCTTTGACTACACACACAGAAGCCTCTTCTACAAGGCTAGGGTATTGTTCGATGAGGTAAGACGAATAAAGGAAGCAGAAGATCACAACAAGAAATTCAACAAGATTTTCTAAGAAAGAATGAGAAGCAGCAAATATTTCGCCATGGATGGCTCAAAAATGGAGGACAAACCATTTGTAGGATTCGCTTCGATGCGTATAAAAGATGGTCCTAGCATAAAATTCAGGATATCTAAGATAGTGTCCATATTCATGGCGGAAGCATTAGCAATTGCTGAAACACTAGATATCACTGAAAAAATTGAACCGGAGCAAAACTTCATGATTTTCTCAGACTTGGCAAGCGTGTTAAAAAGCGTTAGTAACCCCACTATAATAAGCAATACATCGCACATTACACACATGCTAAAAGATAAAATAGAGAGACTGGAATCACAAGGAAAAATATCCAATTTTACTGGAACCCGGGGCACTGTGGAGTTGAAGTTAATGAGAGGGCCGACCTGGAGGCAAAGCAAGCAGTCAAAGAAGGTAGAGATAGTCAATTACTATTACAGTAGCAGATCTTAAAATCCAGTGCAAAAAGAACGACAAAGAAGAACTTCACAGTTTTTGTCAAAACACCGAACGGGACAGAGGAGAAAGCTACTTTGAAAGGTACTACAGGAAAGGCTCGTCTCTGTGGTTCCAACAGATAAAAATGAACCCCCATGCTTTCACGTCAATAAACCATATGAGAGCAGGACACACCAGTCTTAAAGTAAGCCTAAACAGATTTAACATTGTGTCCACAGCTGAATGCGAATGTAGTGATGGGCTGCAAATGGATGAACGTATCTTCTGGGACTGTAAACAGTATGAGGACCAAAGGGCAACAGTGTGGACATCTTGTCTAAGAACAGCAGAAAGCATTACCCAAAATCAGTTACAGAGCTCTTAAGGCTAGAAGAAAAAAGATTTCTGCAAGGCATCTGTTACTTCATAAACAACATTCCTATATTTATATAAAATAGATATGTAAGAAAAGTAAAAGAAGCAATTGCACAGATTATTTACAGTATACACACAGATTTAAGTCAAGATCTATATTAACAATCGCGGGGCCACTGCTATTATAAAATAAGATGTTTATTAGAATGTGCTACAGAAGGCCAGATGGGCATTGCCTAGACCGCTTTTGTATTTACATTTTTTCTTACAATTAAAAAATCCTCACTGCCTTTAATTTCAGTTTTCTAGACCAGAGATTACAATACAATGTATCTTACATTGTTTATCCACCAATCTGCTTTGTTGCCTAGGAGCACTTCCGTGGAAGAAATTAAGTAAAAAAATGTTGTTTCACTTTGTATTCGGTTTCTGTAAGAGTTTTCTCATGCATCTGGCAAATTCCTCTTACCAGCACACCCCATGTCCTGTATATATCAGATAACCAGAAGTCTGCTATGCTTTAATAACTGAAATAAGAAAAGCAGAAATAAATGTATACGAAGAGAAATTAATGAAATGACATTATAACAATACACATTTTTATCCCCTATATTAGATGCTGGATATGATCCATCCTACAGAGGCAGGTAAAATCTCACTGGGAGATTTAAAACGCTGTAAAATGACACCAATCTTCTTTGATACATTTTTCAATCTGGAAAAATACCTTGACCATGAACAGCGTGATCCATTTGCCTCACAGCGAGACCATGATAGTGATGGTCATGAGGTGAGTGTAATAATTTATGTATTCCATAAGCATAGGTAATGCCTGACCAGTTTCTCCATTGTGCAGTGATGGCTTTAAGCTGATTATTTGACCTCATGCATGATAATATTCTTAGCAATAGCTCCACTGAGATTTCTTAGCAATAATAATGTACTTAAGACATCTTCATTTTTTAAATTATTTCAGATACTGTGAGGAGCCAAGATAGCTCACTTAGTATAGCGATGGGCTATAGACTAGATGGCCGTGGTTCAATTCCCGGCAGGTGCAAGAGATTTTTCTCTTATCCACAGCTTCCACACAGACTCTTGAGCAACCAGTCCTCCTATACAGTGGGTACCAGGGGCTCTTTCCCCAGGTGTAAATCAGCCAAGGCATGAATCTGACCACTCAGCTCCATCTAGTACTGAGGTCAAGAATGGTGGAGCTATACCTCCACTCCACCATACATCTTCATGGTGTGGTGCTTAATTAATGAAGTCCAAGGAAAATTTTTCCTTTATGCTTTTTTGATACTGTATCACTCTTACATTTTAACCCATAAAATTCCTCTTCCATTCTGGAAGCCAATTTAATATCTCTTGCAGATAACTTGCTGATTCATGAAAATGCTTTTATAGTTTTGTAAACTAAAATTTATATTACTTTCACATGCTTGTGAAATGTGGCAGACTTGTCATTTTTCATCTGCTGCTTACAGCTCTCTGATTGGGACCGCTATGCAGCTGAAGAATATGAGCTTCTAGTAGCTGAGGAAGGGGCCAGTGATCATCAAGATGAAGCGTAAGTTTTATTTAAGTTCAGATTTTTCATGCAATTACTTTCTTACTTTTTAGTCAAAGTATTTATTACAATTTTAAGGAATTCTAGATTAAGTATTATATTTAAAAATTACAACTATTCAGAAAATTTTTTTCATCTTTTGCAGCCAGACTAAATGCATACGTGAACTGATTCATTCACTGTATGGGGAAGATTTCTTCTTTCGATGCTCATGATCAAGAAATTCCCCACATTTAATGGAAACCAAGGGTTCATTAGTGTGATCACACAAGTCCGCAGTTGGTCCTATTCTTAGTCCAGTTCACATATTGATAGCCTTTTTATTTAGATCCAGTTTAATATCATTCTCCCCTCTAGACATAAGCTTCCCAAGAGATCTCTTTCCTTCTAAAACTTTTGTATACATTTCTTATCTTTCCCAAATATTCTACTTACTCGGTCCATCTTATGCTCCTTGAATTGATAAAATCTGGTTACTTCCTCTCTTTAAGGTCTAAATAGTGTTCCCACCACCCTGTTCTGAAACACTGACCTCTGTACAAAACAGCAAGTAAACTATGCTGTGTGACAGACAGAGGTGTTTAAATTTGCTACAGTAGTTTCAGGATAACATGAGGAATAGAATATGGTTGTTCAGGCACATCAGTGGAGTGGACAGATCAGTTTCCTAGCTGAGTCATGTGCCAGTGCAGAGAAGTAAGAGTAATTATTATGTGAGAGGTCAGGTCTAGCTCAGGTCCAATTTTTCTTGCTTTGCAGTACTAACGTCTCATGTCTGCTGGTATAGAAGGCTGAATGAAACACAAGAGAGCTTACTCTGTCCCTGACTAAATTAGTTAATACATGTACAAGATATGAACATGTATTTCTCAGTCATTCATCATGTTAAATCTCAGTGTAGCTCTTAAAGCTCAACAATTGTCATTGTGTCATCTAGAATCATTGACATGAATGATATGAGACAGATGACAAGACCAAAATAAATGTTGAAATAATTAAGAAAAGCTTTAAATGAAATTCTTCTATACTTAGCAGATTGTGAATATATGTCACTTATTTATGCTGGGTGAAATGAAAGGAGTAAGTTTGTTTTCTTATGGTCTCTTAATTGACAGCATGTTGAAAGAATTGTTCATTGTCATGTTTGGGTTTTATACTTTTACTGTTATCATTGTTGGTGTTTACAGGGTGTTGGATGATGAAATGTAGCCATCATACTGGCACTTAGTAAGTAAAACATATTCTTGACACTGCAGTTTGAATGTGTCCAGTTTGCTTTTTACTCAGGACCTTGTGCTTTGTTAATTTTGTTTCACTGGCCTAGGAATCCATGACAGAGAGTAAAGTTATTAGTTACAGAAACCTCTAAAGGATAAGATATATTTTTCTGACCACAAGCCTTTTGATCTGAATTACTTTGGTGTAGGTTACATAGGTGTTCTCTTGCCACTATAAATTATTATGTATTAGGATATGTTGTTGAAGTATGCAAATTCTTAAGCCATTTCAGTACTTGTGTATTGTCATAACTTAGTGGCTAGACGTGGGGTTTGGATTGAAAACTGGATTTATTGAATGCTAATAACTTGCAACTACAAATAATTATAATACTTTCACTAATCCACACTCTCTACATATCACTACTGCAAACACCATGTCTGCTCAGTCTGCTGTGTCTTCACTAGAAGCATCTAACAATGCAACTCAAGGGTGACTAACCTCTGACTGACCTCCGATTCCCTTTCCTTGTTACGTAGCCTTGGTATGAACCATATAGAAAACATAGCTGCCATGGTTCCTCTGCTGTTGCATAACAATGGCTGCCTCTTTCTTTGTTCTGCTATTCCAGCTTTCAATCATCATGTCATGGTATATTTAGTACTCAGTTTACTGCATAATTTAATCTGCCCTTCAGAAATTGTGTCATATTTTACACTACAAAACCATAAGTTTCTGGGGTACCAGATGTTTGCTTGTAAGTGAAGTTTCCCCCTTGATATCACTGATTGCCATATTACCTGTGTAAGAAATATGATACACACATATAGTTGTGCATAATAGGTTTACACAAAGGTTCCAAGATTGACTATGTGGAGTGTCAACAGTCATGTGTGTAGATGCATATAGAATGGCCGAAAGTTGTGACTGTAACCTACTTAAGCAATTTGTTCCAAACAGCTCATGTGACATTTCATTTTGTGTGTTGTTTGCATGATTGTGTAGTTTTGGTTTGGCTGCACTGTGATAGGACATCCATAAAGAAACAAAATACTTGTGTGAAATTTTGTGTCAAACTACAAAAAAGATCAACAGAAATCCACAGAATGTTGTGCAAAGCTCCTAACAGTGAGGCCTTGATGATCAGAATGGTAGCAAGGGAATGGCACAAACGTTTCCAAAATGGATGAAATTCAGCAAATGCCAAAAGGTTGGTCCAGACTTCAGTTCAAGAAAGGATTTGCTTCCTCAAATGAAATACCATTATCTAAGGAAACCATAACTGACTCTATGGGAAGTAGCAGAAGATAGCAGAACAACCACTAGCTCATGTCATGCATTTTTTATGGAAAAATTAGGGATGCAGTGAGTCTCAGTGAAATTTGTGCAAAGGCTCTTAGTGGAAGATCAAATAATTTAATGTGTTTCAGTCTGCAAAGATCTCCTGCACTGAGTGAATAATGGTGAAAGTGTTTTGAAAAAAGTTGTCCATGGGGAAGAGACTTGGGGTTTATGGATGTTGAAACTGAATAACAGTCATCACTGTGGGCGAGTACTTATTCACTGTGCCCCCCCCCCCAAAAAAACAATACATGACAAGTATGCTCAAAAGTGAAAACAGTGTTAATTTATGTAAGATTTGAGGCTTTCATGGCGGTGACTATGAAGAAAGCAGTCTTCTGGGATTTGGCACCGTGTATATGTGGTGTTAATACCACATATACACGGTGTTAATTTATTGTTTTTTTCAATTACAGAAACATTATTCATTATAAGTGTGTTACCATGGGTCAGATGATTAATTAATCTTATTAGCTAGAATTTCTGAGGTGTGTGAGGGATGCAATAAAAATAAAATAATGAGCAATGTGGACTGCAAGAACATGGCACCTCCATCATGGCAGTGCACCTGCTCATAGCCTTATTGGTTCAAAAGTTCAAGTCCTGTCAATACACAACATCCCTATATGCCTGACCCATTCCCTTGAGATTATTTCTATTTCCCTAAATAAAAATGATTCCTAAAGGATTCAAATTGTAGAGGACATCATTGCAAATACAACAGATGAAGGGAGAATGATTCAACAAACATTATCTGAACAGTACTTCCAAATGTGGAAAGGGTAATGGGAGCAGTACATTGTTGCTGAAGAAAATAGTTTTAAGGGGAATGAGTGTAATTAAGCTGAAAGTTTTGAAATAAGGATATCATGACGTGATGCCTAAAAGTCAGACTTGTGGAGTCAAATGTTGTGAAGACATCCATTGCTATGTAATGGCTTGATAAAACATGCTTCCATGGCAAAGAATATGATCACAACAGTAGAAGAACTGTTTGGGGCAGTATTTTCTAATTGTTCTGATACAAAGTTATATAAAGTACATTTATTTTTCTCCCTGTTGAGAGCTAATAACAGATTTAAAGGCTTGGATGTGGCAAATTAATTTTTAGTTTGGTAACAAAAACATTTTCCAAGTAATATTAATGACTGTATTAAAACATTTCAGTGATTTTCTGTAACATTAAAAACTGCTGACACATTTTCTCAGAAATGTCAGTGATTCACTTGATTCACTCAGGGCAGGTCCTATGACAGATCTACCTTTATGATACTCCTCAGCCATCTTATAAAATTTAAAAGAAATTTGTGGAATTAAAAAAAAAATGCCTAACATCTGCAAAGGCATATATTCTACACTGCTTATGCAGACATGAATTTTGAATATAAACTGTCTACCAAATGACATATGTTAGAGAAGAATGGCAACTCTATACAGTTCACTATGGCACACACTAAGTCTTCTCAGTCAGCTATGTCTTCACCAATTGTTGCTTGGCAGCAGCTCCCAATGCTCTAGAATCCTCAGTTCCATGTTCCATGGCTCCAGTCCTTGCTGGCTGGCACCTGTCTCACAACTCAACTAGGCATTTCCTGTGTACATTCTTCTATCAAGGGCTATTCCTTCCATCTTTATGGCTCAAGATCTGCACTTCCTAACTGCTGACTCAAGACTGTACTGCTCTGCCCATGGCCTCCTAGCCAGGGCCCAGAACTTCCTTTCTCATACTGACTGAAGACTGCCTGTCCCTGAACTCAACTCAAAGTCAAAGTCAAATTTATTTTATGACTGGTGGATTACCACCAATCAGTTCATCTTAGCATGAGGTTCCTTGAGACTCAAGTGTACATATTGCACATATGGCATGTTATTGAATATTATTCCTTTTACATTATATACAAATCCTCTTGTCAGTACAGGCTTTGCAAAGCCTTACATGTCTTGTGCTACAGTGGCAGCTTAGTTACTTGAATGGTCATAAGCTTGACCACCAACTTGTTTAAACCCCTTATATTTTATACGTCTGGCTTCATGCTGTCATATACTGTGAACATGTTGATTCTCATGATTTTGTATGACTTCTGCTTGTTGCCTGCACATTTTTGTTATATAATCATATACATGCGGAAGGTTGAACTATGGACTGATATGCACCTTGGAAAATTTCCACTGGTGTGGAGAACCTGGTATCATAGGCACTGCCGTTTTAAGAGGTAGATGTCTGCTGCAAATTCCCAAACAGGGCAAGCATAAGTCCTTAATGATCTGATCAGTATCTTACGGAGGGTTAGTTTAATGTTTGTTCTTAAATGCTCACTTTTAAACAGGGAGTTATTCTAATGATCTTAAGGCCTTATATTCAATCATTTCTTTGTGCAGTCCCCATGTAATCCTTTTATCGAAGATTACAGCTAGCTATTTTACATGATTGACATCGGGCA